TTTTCACGTTTTCCATTATATCCGCATTGTTATCTAACAATTATGGTTATGAAATGTTCAAAGTTATTTGGGAGGTCCGAAGAAAATACAACATTATAAAAGTGAAAAACTTACTGATGTCGGATAGCATCCTGTGATATGCACAAAAACTTCTTGTTTTTCATATTCACTCAAACATTGTGTAATTCAAAATAACCTAAAACAGATTCCTTGATTTCTCTGACTCGAATTGTACATTAAAAGCAAAAATAGATATTTCCGAAAAATGAACATTAGATATCAGACATTTTTATCATAGACGAAATAGTTGAAGCTATTCTTTTCGTAACATCTATTCTTGTATATGTTTTTGAATACATTTTGTACAATCAATTTCATGGAACGGTGGCTGTGGGCATTTTCCGATTAACTTTTGAACAAAGGATACTAGAAACTGGCGGTTGTCGTCAATCGAAAGAAGAGAGCCGAAGACATCTTCCCACAAGCAAAACTAGTTAAAAAATCTATCGTGCTTTAATCTCCTTTGGCGGATAAAATTACTCATATTCTGATACATAGTTGTGTTAGGAAGCACACACAATTTAACACTTTCAATCAACAATTGACATTTGGAAGTTAGAGAGGAAAACGTATTTATTATTATGTCTCTTTTCGGGCAGATTTTGCCGGATATATATCCACAGGCACTCAAAAGGATCGAAATCATTTGATACGATAATTCGGATAAACTTTAAATCCAGTAGAGCAATAAAATGACCTGTCTTGTTATTGATGTATATTATATCAATAACTTACTTTACTGCGAAATAAACGGAAGACTGAAAACAAATACGGTTTGTGTACCATTAATATAAACATCTTTGCTTTTCTGACATCAAATCTAAGATTCTCGAAATAACGTTGTACTCGTCATGCATATGCCTGACGTTCAAACCAAACAAAAATCTGCTGTATTTTAGGAAAGAGTGGACACAACAGGCATCGACGCAGATGTTTAGCCAGAAATAGAAGTAAAGTTTTTGCAGATTTGATTGGTGAAAAATGTACGTCGCTATAAGGACAATTTACTAGAATAAGCATTTTTGTGGTAAATTTCAAGAATAAAGAAAACACAGTGCTATAAGCTGAAAAACGTTTTTTACATTTTTCAACAAAATTCGAATTAAAAATGATACGGCGACTAAATCTAGTCACATTTTCCATGCTAACCAATTTTTTCCAAGTGTCTTGTTTAGTCAAATGAGCGCGCTTACTTTGACTTACTGGTGGACGCAAGCTTATAGTATTGACGCAAGCTTTTCCGAACTTTGGTACAGGATTTCCAAAAAAACATCCTAGTTTTTGAGGTAAAATTTATCTTTACTTAAAAACATTTTTGATAAAAATAGTAAGATAGTATTCCGAATCAGGAAAGTAAACTGCATCGAATAATGTAGCTTTCAAACATTTTCTGAGATATTTTCTCCACATCGAGAAATTAGATTCAAGAGAAAAGGCGACAGTTATTGAGTAACCAAAACTTTTCAAATGAAAATATGTTCAGAAACATAAAGGAGAAAAATTATCAATGGATAGCAGAACGTTTTAGAAAATTCGAAATTAAATTTTAACCTACATTTGAATTTTGAAGCGAAACATATGTCAATAGAAGAGACTTGCATTTTACTAATAGTACACTATTCTAGTAATAACTGATATACTAATGACTAAGCCCTTCTATATCTTAGCGATGTTGATTGATAATGCCAAAATTCATAATGTCCGATGAATATTGTGCGAAATCTATGCAAAAATTCACAAAGAATAACAACAACATGAATACTTTATGATGAGAACAAAAACGAAATAAACAAAGACAAGATCATCATAGCGATTGAAACAAAACGAGAAACAAAGTACAAGCGTACAACTTTTGTTGAAACAACAACAAACAAAAGTAAAAATTTATGGTTCGAAAATTAAATACAGTTTTAAATGTGTATGTGCGATTTAACTACAATTTAAGTTGTAGCTTATAACTAGCGATAAATGCAATAATATTACGAGCTGATATTAGTCGGAAGTTGTAGAAATAGAAAAACAATTTTTGACAAACTTTTAGCCTAAATGAGTACACATTTACATCAGAAAAAAATTGACTGTATTGATCACTATACAATGTCTAAAACACCACATTCAAATAAAAAGTTCGATGATAAAAGAATCCAGAAAGTATCGCAACAAACAGGAACATCGGATATTAGTACGATGAAAGATAGTAGTACTCAGGACAAAAATTAAACAAAATACAATGAATAATATCCAAAAGTAACATTAATAGTATTGAAATTGTTTCTTAGCTATTTTAAATAACTTTACTATTGAAAATGTTTTTTTCATAAAAAAACAACAACAGAAACCTACTTTTCAACAGCTAAGAAACATTTTCTCTACTCTTTACTATGTACCTAAGCCTTCGTGACAAGTCTTTTTTAAAATCGAATATTCACAGGGTAAAACAGAAACAAACATGTAAATGGTAAAATAAATTTTAACAGTCGGCGATCAGTGTGTATTTCAAAAGATTGCTAATTATAGAATGATTAAATTGATTGTATTAATCTATTAGGAGCTATACTACTTAATATATTCTTTTACTTTTAGTAAAAAAGAAATAGCATCTGCAATTGAATAATTATGAATTATAAATTCATTTTTGTGCTATAAAAAGTTAGATAGTTATTTTATTTTTATACTAGTTTAAATTGTGAACAATATTAGTAAAACACTGCCCTTACAGATAATTACTTGTCAAAAGCAGATAACATCTTATTTTTTAGAGAAATTTTTCAATTATGAAAACTATGATATGTACATTCTTGGAAAACGTCATTTTCTTTAATTATATTGAAAAGAACAATAGCTGAGACCAATATGTACTACAAAATAAGATGTTCATCTGAAATTTGTCTATACAATCAACTAGTATAATAATAAGTAAATGTCTATCTATATAATTCTATATCTAAAATGTTCTAGTAGTATGTACCGTGTCACTCTATTATAGAATTACTATTTTTACGAGCTGCTATTATTCGCAAATTATGTTATACACATACACACAAAAAACTGTATTGAAAAAAAGAAATTAGAAAAACAAAACACATGTTTATTTTTTGTCAATGGAAATCCAATATACTCAAACAATATATTTACATTTTCAAATAATTTCCTCTGTACTAATTTCCATTGTTGTGGAAGTAGTCGTAGTTGTATCATTATTCAATGAATTCTCCTTGTTAATAACTAATCTGTCTTCTTTGTTATAAATAACAGTTCTTGACGCTAATTTTTGTCCATTTTCAATCTCACCACTATTAGTACTCTCTTCTCCTCTTGTAACAATACGTCTAGGTTGTTGAGTATTCAATTCTGATTCTTGCTCAATTTCTGAAGCACTTATTAATTCTTCATCATCACCATTTCCTGTTAATACAATTTGACTTTTAACAGTTGGTAAGGTGAGTTCAGCTTGTAAAAATGTATCGTCTAGATTTTCATCGACAATATTATCGGTTTCACTTATTGAGCGTTTTCTCGGTGTGTTTGATTGTCGATCTTGATCTTGTTCGTCGACTGATTTTTCTAAAATCAAACATAATCACTCACAATGTAAAACAATTCATAATCCAACAAGTTAAATTATTATTAAATTAGACCCCTACTTAATACTCTTAGCACCAACAATGTACACAAGAAGTCAGAAGGCCTCTATTTATTACATACACCAATTTAAAAGAGCAATTAATAATCTTGTAATTTGCCTCACGAGTTTATACATACCCAAATCATCCAATTCTTTTTGCATATTTGTTTTATAATCTTGAATTTTTTGTTCAATTGTTTGTTTTTGTTCATTTAATTTTTGTTGAATTATGTCTAAATCTGTTCGTTTTGGTAAATAAAATAGATGTGGTTTTGTTTTTGTCGGAATAAAATATTTTAAATTTTCTTGTGATTTTTCATACATAACCATTCGTTCCATTAAATCTAATTTAACATTTAACTGACGTAGTTTTTGTTGACAAGAACGTTTTTTTATTATTAAATCTTGACGTTCTTTTTGTGCTTCTTCTTTTTCTTCTAATTGTTTTTGTTCTAAACGTTTTTCAATTTCATGACGTTTAATACCTTGTTGCTGTTCATTGTACAATTGACTTTCTTGTTTAAATTTATTCAATGTGCCTATAACAGAATAGAGTATAAAAATTTTATCATCTAAATAGAACATAACATACCTAAGAGTACTCCAAACATTCGTCTATTTCGTCTTGTTGATTCACTATCTTTATTAACCAATGAAATAAGATCATCTTTTGTTTTTATTATTTTGTTTGTTGGAACAATCGACGAGTGAAGATACTTTGCTGATGTTGGTGATTGTTTAATATTTTGATGGTCAAAATCCGAATTATTTTCACCGTCATCTGGAATAACAGAATGATCGGATGGTAGAGTAGATGTTGAGTCAACATGCATCGCAGATCGAAAACGTTTTGTTGTGTATGATTGAGGACTCGCAGTATCGTTTGTTGAAAATGTTCGATTATTGGAAAATGATGAGGTTGTTACACGAAAATGAGGTGGAATGTAACAATTTTTTAAACGAGTGTCTAACTCTCGTAGATCCGACCATAATGACTCACGTTCACGTTTCAAATCGTCAGTTGCGGTTAAAGCGGACATAATTTTTAAAAAATCTACTAGAATAGAATATTCTATACAAATAAGAAAAAATTCATATATCTAAAAGGTAAATGCATCATTGATCAGAAATAAACCATCTCAAATAATCCATTTCGTCATCATATGTTGACAGAGCTCAATGAGATGAGAGGTGATGAGTGATCAGATAAGAGATTTAAGTAAGCTTTGCTAAATCTAACGCTTTTCTCCATGATTTCTAAGCTTTTTTGTTTGTTTGCTTCTTGAATTGACTATTTCAACAAATATCTCTCAAATGCCTTAAGTTTCAACTGTGTGGATTTTGATTAGCTCAAATGATTAGCCAATCCGTTTCTGTTGACACTTCTCTATCGTTACAATCACTTCGATTAAATATTGTGTTATAGACCTTCTAACTTGAATTTAGATGTACAAGTGAGTGCAATTTAGATATATGCATTTCTAGTTCAAGATAAGCGTCCGTAATAATTTTTCTTCGGACCATCACGACTGTCAACGTAATTTCAACTTGAAAGGTGTTCGCGTTTCGAAATTTTATATTATATCGATTAACAGTCTCTATAGCTGAAGCAATTATAACGGTAAGTAACCGATACTTTTAAAGGATACGTTCTTGCAATGCCCTACAAAAGAAATCCCAGTGCGGCACTGCCTGGTACCGTGTGCACCCGTGCCCAGCAAGTGCAGATATATTAATAACAAAAAAGTACCGCATTGAAACTTATTTAGCCAGTTCTTTATTATAGTTGCATTTTCTTAATTTTACATTAATTAAAAGTACAGCACTGATATGTACCAGTACTACACTGGCATTCCGTAACCCATGAGGTTTTTTTTCATATCACCGAAAAAAAAAATAAAGTTGGTTTAGAGTTGCTGAAAAGTGTTTTTTCATATACAGCATACTCGATAACCCAGAAGATTTTCTGTTTTTGGCCCGAGGTACTTCCGAAAGTTTAGGAAAATTTTTCAAATCAATATTATTTTTCCATGGAAAACTTTTTGCGCCATTTTGTTTCAAAATTTTTCTTAAACTTTCGGAAGTATCCCGAGCCAAAAATAGAAAATCTTCTGGGCTATCGAGTGTGCTGAATACGAAAAATCACTTTTCAGCAACTGTAAACCAACTTTATTTTTTTTGTTCCGGTGGTATGTTAACGATTGAAACGGTGTCCAAACGCGTGTAAACGACGAAATAACAGAAACACGTTCAATCGATGCTTGAAACGCGATTTTTAGTCGTTTAATCGATATACGAAACGCGTTTTAAGCATACGCTTTAGTTTCTCACTGCATCATTCCTTCCGCACATCTTTGAAATTGAGTTGATTTTAGACTGTGGTGTTTATATAGACGGATAGAACAAAACAGTGATTGAAAAAAATTTGACACTGGTGCGCAAGGATACCGATAAAGTAAGAAAATTTCTTATGATATATCGGCACTGGTGCTCACCTCTGCCGATAAAAAAGTATGAATCCGCAGGGGTGCGCAAACCTGAAAATCTTTTTGGCACTGGTGCACATCAGTGCCGAATAAGTATCAGTAAAAAAATTTTTTTGCAAAGGTCTACTTTTTATGATCATAGTGCTTTTTGGGTTAAATTTATTTTCACAGATTTGCTGCGGTCGAAGAAGAAATTGACTAATTGAATGATCCATTGACAATGAGCACAGATAGTACAATATGCTCAAATAATTCATTTATTAATGTCATATATGCTTTAGTTCTACACCGCACCATTCCTTCGACGCATCTTTGAAATTGAGTTGATTTTTCCTGTAACAGAATCCATTTTCGTCCTCATTTTCTTTTATTGATAATACAACAATAGAACAACTATATAACAAAAAAAGAAGAGAGAAAACAATTTTTTTTTAACATTATTTTTAAAAGAAAACATCAGTAAAAATATGCGAGAAAAAGAGGCGCACAACAATGCAAATAAAGATTAACAGAAATACGAATAAAAAACAATAACCAAAAATCAGCTTTTCGACTGCAAGAAAGAAGAAAAGCACAAATCACACAACACACACACACACACACACACACACACACTCACACACATTTTATAATTCGGGATGTTCATCTAAACAAAAAGAGCAAAAATCAAGAGATTACTCGTACAGA